ATGCTTTGGAGAAGAAAAAAAAACATTCACAAACAGAATTGCTAATTTACATGATATCTTTCACTCGCACGGTGATAACAATGATGTTCAGGGATTGCTGAATGTTAAACCGGAAACAGAAATAAGGGTGTGGCGTGGGATAATTGTTCCGCAGTAGCTGGGAATCGATTAAGACGAAATATCACCCTTCTTTTTGTTTGTTTAACGATCGAAAAGCAGCTAATGAAATAAGACTCAAAATAATAAAATTACACAATTTAGAAACTAGTTTGTTGAACTTTAAAGAATTTTGGAAAAACCAGAGCTTATGGCGCTCAATAGGCCTACATGACATGCAAGAAAAATCAGTGGCTGAATCTTTTTACTTTTTTGTTGGTTTCTTTAAAGCATGTACAGGGTTATGGTAAGGGGAGTAGGATACGAGAATTGACAGTCTCTCTCTCTCTCTCTCTCTCTCTTTGTTTCTGTCTATATGTCTCTCTCTGTCTCTCTCTGTCTCTCTCTCTCCCCCTCTCTCTGTATCACTCCTTCAATTACTTCAAGAAGGAATTAGAGGATGGAGGGTAAGAGAGAAATATAGTAGAGGAGGGGTGAATCAGTTTGGTGTACGAAAAGACTTTGGGTCCTCTTCTTCCAAACCAGCGCTCAACATGCTCACAGAAAAATACTCACAAAAATACTCACAGAGTGAAGAGAAAACGGGACAGCTAGAGACAGATATAAAGAAGGGGAGCATTTTGCCCAGAGGATAGACGATAAGATGCAAAAGATCATCATCTCTAAAACCTAAGACAACTAAGGGAAATCCAGCCTTGATAACATATTACATATTTTCTAACATTCATTTTAATACGTAATATCAAGGAGTTTCAATTTTCATGATTTTATAGCCAATGTTTCGAATATGCATGCAAAATATCTTCCAGGAAAACAGTTATGGTAATCGGAGTAAAGATCTCTTTTTTTTGTTCTTGGTTCACTTTAATTCTTTTAAACGTCCTCTCGCCACATCCGAAAACCCAATTGCATGTCAATCCCACACCCAAATGTCCTTCTATATCTCTGTATAGCAACATAATCACAAACTACAAAAAGCATGGATCAAATTTGGACGAGTCTCTTTTAACCCGTACTGCGCCAAGATGATTTGCTTGTTTCGAAATTTTACAAAAATTTGATGAATGTGTTGTTATTTTTGTTTTCAAACGCTTGGATTTACTTAACCATGGTTAACTTCCTTACAAAAAAACTTTGTATACTGAAGTTGTACGTTATTGAATACAAAATATTTCTACCCTGCTTTAATTCATACATATACACTATTTGGAAATAAAGATGATTTTTCTGTCAGTCCGTTAGTTTTCTATTCCTCACATGTAAACTATTGTTTCATGGCTAAAGTGAAAGGAGACGCTGCTTAAATTCTCAATTTTATCAAGAAATTTAAGTGGTATAATAAAATAATTCTTAGTTGCTAATATAGATTCTGAGTCACGTTCTAAACATTGATTGGTCACTACATAGGCCTGTATAAATATTTCTTGGTGGAACAAGTTTATATCAGGGCTCCGTCTTACAAAGAGTTGATATCTTATAACTTATTTGCGATTGATATCAATCGCAAGTATGTACATAAGAGATAGGAGACGGCAAACTTGCGATTGATTGGAGGACTTGCGATTGATTTGGATCAATCGCAACTCTTTGTATTAAGACAGAGCCCAGGTCTGCGCGTCACATTGTACGTGATACCGGCAGACGGGCAGAGCATGAGTTAATTTTCCACCTCTGCAATAAAAGTACAGTCATTCTTGTTTTGTACCAGAAATGAACTTTACAACTACATCCTTTCTAAACAAAAGTACAGCTGACTCTAAACGTCGATGTGATTGGTGAGACTGCAATAAAAATACGGCCACGACAATACGGAAATAGAACCATGTGGTATGATAATTTCGAACTTCATTTGTGAATGAAATTCCATTGCATTTGAGACATTTTCACATGGACTACGTGGGAAAATGTTAGTTGCGACACATCCAGGGTAGTGTTTTCTTAATGATAATAATAATAATAAAGGATTTAGGCCTATATTGAGCTCATTACGAAATACTGTCTCAAGCGCTTTACTGATGTTAATACCCCAGTCATCGGATTCATTCACGCACAATGTGCACCATCTCCACTCATGGGGGAGCGGGGGGGGGGGGGGGTGGGGGTCACCGTGGTCACCGTTAGAGCCTATGGCAATTACTAACACAAAGGCGTTCTTCACCCTACCAGTTTCTCTCCTACAGGCGTAGAGGGGCAAATATAGCTTATAATGCCATGCCAAAGGACATTAGTGTCGTGTGGAATATTCACACGGGATAATCATTCACCTCGGTGCCTGAAACTATAATAGTTAAGCATTTCGCGAGAGAGCGAAGCGAGGAAAAATATTATTTCCTCATCAAAATATCCAAAGTGATACATGTATATATCTAGGCATCTTGAGCTTTCTGATAACTATTTTTCTTCATGAATATGACGCAATTCCAAAATAAATAATCAAAAAGAATAAAAAAACAAAGTTGGTCTCGTGTTCGAACACGAAGTTCCACGTTTGTTTGTTTGTTTATCTGTTTATTATTTATGTGTTTGTTTTATTGCTCCACATTTCACATACCTAGATTGTCTCATTGACATGTTACACGAATATATATATTGTTTCAGTATATTTACTTTACTGTTGTACCCCTACTGTTATACCATATCAAGAAATAATTTTAACACAGATTAGAGCATATAAGAATAAAAGAAAATGGAGGGTATGTAAGAAGAAGGAGAGAAGAAGAAGAAGAAGAAGAAGAAGAAGAAGAAGAAGAAGAAGAAGAAGGAGTACTTAAATGTATATTCATCATGATCATGTATATTATATCAAATGTATACTAAAACAGGGCCCTATGTATGAATGTCAATTATATGTTGTTCCTATGTTCATATGTTGAAGCAAGAATGTGCATATAAACAATTATCCTAAATGGACACAATAAAGAAATGAAATGAAAATAATACATAATATTTAACGAGACAAATGTATCATAAAACAATGATAGACATTTAAGATAGATATTAAAATGAAAATGTGAAATATGGGAACCGTATTAAGAAGCAAAGCTTATACATGTTCCTGAATAAAATGCTAAAAATATGGTAACCTAATTCGATAGCAATAATGAAAGACGTACACTTATTAAAAGGCATTGAAACATTATCATTATATGAGTAACATTTAAACCAAAAATATTACGTGAAGAATACATGCTTTTAGCCAAGTTCACTCGAGCAAAACAATCTCGGTCTGCAACGTGTAAGACTAATAATATGAAGACAGAGACATAGGGAGAGAGAGAGAGAGAGAGAGAGAGAGAGAGAGAGAGGGAGAGAGAGAGAGAGAGAGAGAGAGAGAGAGAGAGAGAGAGAGAGAGAGAGAGAGAGAGAGAGAGAGAGAGAGAGAGAGACAGGGAGAGAAAGAGAGAGACAGAGACAGAGAGACAGTGAGATAGTGAGACAGAGAGAGAGAGACAGGGAGAGAAAGAGAGAGACAGAGACAGAGAGACAGTGAGAGAGAGAAAAAGAGAGAGAGAGACAGAGAGACAGGGAGAGAAAGAGAGAGACAGAGACAGAGACAGCGAGACAGTGAGACAGAGAGAGAGAGAGAGAGAGAGGGGGATGAAAGGTAAAGTTTGTTACACAAACTAACCAAAAAAAGGAGAGCATGCAATGTCCACCCTCGTGGGAAAATATTCCTTAGAATGATTTCTAAATGTTTGAGCTAGGCTAATTAAGCCTTGAGTAAATAATATTTACATTTTGTACATAATGCTCAGTGGGTGAGACTTCACGATAAAAATAAGAATGGTATTCGAGATCCCATGACCCGACATAATCGATTGTACGCTTTACTAATCACTTTGAATACAGCCTTTTGTGGCAGCTCCCTTCTTTTTTTCCAGGGAGAACGCAGTAATCTATTAATGCAGTTCAACAGAGCAGATTGAAGAGCGCCATCTAGTAACATTGCTATACTTACTAGGACAAACAGTTATCTTCCCCAAAAGACCCTTTTATTAATGCTATATAACTGGCTCATCTGATCTTACATTTTATATTGTAGCTTGGTGTTGGCTTCAAGTGCAAAGACAAAAATGAACCCTACTTATTTATCTCAAAAGAAAGCGCTTCGAAAAGGTTCTGGCTCCCATTATTAAGCCCATCGAAACTAATTATTTTATGAATTTTAAACATTGACTTTTTTAAAAATACAAACACACAACAGAGTTTGATCTTTATATGTCGATTCACGAATAACCTGCTTCGTGATTCATGAATCTTAAATAATTGATCCTGCATAAATCAACAAGACATCATGGTCCAGATTAATGGAATGCATTTCCAGACTCAATACAATCATGTAAATCCCTCAATTCATTTAAATTCAATACAAAGAAAGCATTTTTAGTGTTAGATCTTTTTACAGTGCTGAATCAATATTCAATATTTGTTATTTCCGGATTTCTATAAACATTCATCAGTATATTTTATAACTCCTATATAGTAATATTACTTTCTGTTATTTTCCACCAAAAAAATTTATTGTCATTTATTTCATCATCATCATTATCATCACCATCATCACCATCATTATCATCACTATGATCATTTTTCAAAATCATCAACCCCCCCCCCCCCACCCTTTCCCCAGCCCGTTCTTTTCTCACGGGATCTCTTTCTCACAACCTCTTGTGGAATTTCCAAGGGATTTCCCCCCAAAAGATCTAATGCAATATTTCTTTGGGCCTTACAAACGCACACCCAGTTTTCTTAACTTCAATATGTTGCATACAGATTATTCAACGATGCGTATACATCTCAATCCAGTGCTCACTACAACTTACACATACTGTACTGACAGCTATGAATCTATCCAGTAGGCAAAAGAACAATATGTGTGCACTTCCTCGTCAGAGACTTGTCGCAGTAGTCACAATCTTGTCTGACTTGGTAAAGGTGCATTTTAGGAGAACTTTGTACTGAGAAGAGTCAGTTCTAACACTACGAGGCTATTTGGGGATTACATTTGAGCAGATTTTAGATTATAATTTGTTTCCAGTCACCGTATCCTTGACTTTTTAAGGACATGGGGTCATTTTACTTCCTTCTCATTCTTGTGATCCTAGAATGGACCACAAACACTGAAGCCCAAACCACGACCCGTGAGTATGATTTAAAATGTAATTCTTCTTAATTCCATTAATTGGAGTTATTTTCCTGACATTAATGTATATTGTTATCAATAATTCCATTTTTTAAATATATATATATATATATATAGGCCTATATATAAACATACATGCATATTAATGAAATATATACACTATATACATATATATATATATATATATATATATATATATTGTTAACAACTAAATTATTCATACTTAGCTAATAAAAAGTTTTTTCAAATGATTGTGTTTGTTAAAAAATTGTCCCCATTAAGGTTATGTTTCTTGATAATATGACATATTAAAGTTTACATCTAATGTATTCAACAAAGACCCTAATTCAGCCGGTCCACCTTTTTTCTTGAGTTACGAACAACTAAAAAAACATCTAATTTATAAGGTATACATAATTTGTTGTTAACTCTTAAAGCTGCCACCCATACGATGCACCCAGATCCACAGTGCTTATCCCTATTGTGCCAGCCACAAATATCCTATGTGCCAAGTTAATTTTAGGGTTGGTTCAAGTACGAGTTATTTAAATCTTTACAAAAAACAAATCGCTTACTTACTCGAGAAAATCCAATCTGACTGTTGTATACAAAGACGCGTAATCCAAAGCCAATAATCTGATGCACGCGATGGTACTTTCAATAGCGCTGCAAAAGCACTCAGCACGGTGCAATGGGCATGAACAATAACTGTTATTACATGTGCGTGCTAGCGTGCACAAAGCAGACAACCGGTAGCTCGCTAGCATGAACGTAGCAATCAATCGATAGCGCGCTAGCGTGCACAGAGCACTATAACAATAGCGCGCTAGCAGTCTCATGGCAGGATATGAGTTAACTGTATGTATACATTGTATACACACATATCTATATTCATGAATATATATTTTTTTTATAATTCTGACAGAGTAATGACGTAAGCATATCAATCAGAGACTTGTATAAGGTCAATTTTCTTATGATTACAAATGTTACGTTTGCATGATAATTATATAATATTGACTGGCCTTGAGGGGTATATCAGAAATATTGACCAAGCTCAGATCATATTGCCCCGAGTCGAAAGACGAGGGCAATATGGTCTTAGCGCGGTCAATATTTCTGATATCCCCCGAAAATAAAGCCAGTCAATATTTTTATTGTTATCCAAATCAGACATCTAGAGCAAATACAGACATCCACCATGACAATCTCAAGAACTGAACAAACTTTGTCAAACCAACACTGTGCATCCAGTGCTTGACAAAATTTTCGATACACTGCAAACAGTGTGTATTTGGTGTGATTATTACGTCACAATAGAGTGCGCGCAAAGTGCGCAGGTTCTCGTACGCATAATAGATGCGCAATGAAAATGCGACGCGGATAATACAAGATGCCCGGATGCGAGACCGTGGAAAATACCAAGGTATATTTTCACTCGTCTCTACACGCAAAGTCAATACGCGCAGGGAGACCAAGGAAAATACAAAGAATATACCCCTCCGTTCCCACTGCTAGTGAAAACTAGGGCAATACGGTTTTGTAAATGACCAGCTCAGATGTCTGATACGGGTAATAATACCAGATATAAACAAATTTAAAATACAAACTTGTAACTTAACTCAATTAATATACAGTAAAAATAGAATATAATACGTGAATACAAAAATGTCAAATAATAACAAATCTAAACTGGCAAAGAATAACAATGTATAGTCTGGTAAAAGCAAACATAGGTGGCAAATGATATTTTATATTGCTATACAAATATTTTTCATGTGTGTACTCCACAATCAATATAACTGAAATGATAGCATTTCGGTTTAATTAAATCATGTGAACTTGTTCTACAATTTTAAAGTGCATTTGATTATTTTGGATTGTATACGTCAATAATGAGGCAATTTGCTAAATAAAAATAGATGCCCCCTCCACAAATTTATTTTTGGTTAACGAAATTGATAGTGGGATGGAAATAGGTTCACTAAATTGTATATATATAATTTTTTACTAGTATTTTACAACCCTTGTATAAAGGTTTAAAATATAATTGAATTATTAGTTTTTTTGCCTAAATACAATTTGGCAATGTAATGGGTTTTTTAATCGTATTATTTTTTTCTTCAATATCTAGAAAACCCGTATTTCATGTATATCCTTAAACAAAAATTCAATCTCAATAAATTTAATTATGTTAACTATATTATTACTATATTTTATAAAACATATTGTATTTATATGATATTTCCGCATCTGTTATCATATTTATGTCGTGGTTATAATTCTTTGATATTTCTTTACAATATGTGTTTTAAAACCAACTTATAACAAACTTTATATCTACGTATACATGCATATGAACTCGTATAATTTATCTCTACTCGGTGTGTCATCAGTAATTGTACTATTTTGTTATTCTGTATATGATATATGTTTTCTTATGTTTACTTTGTATTTTTTATTGTATATGCACGCCCCATTGTTAAACAGCTTAACAGCTGAACTGGGCCTTTACCGTGAATGAATACATGAATCAAATCAAATCAAATCAAATCAAAGGTAGAAAAATGGGTAGAAAATGCTGCTTTCACAGAAAAAAAAACTTTGGTAGCTTCTAATATAAAAGTTATAACCTATGTGACCTCGAGTCCTATTTCATAGTAAAAGGTAACTGGTAGCCTATACAATGATACCATATTTATAATTGTGTTCCAACGGACGACTGGGCAGCAGGCTTTTCAAAGAGTTTGTCAAAATCCTCATTTACCAAGTTTGTGCCCAAGCAATGAATGAAGGTCAAATACCATCAATTGTGTGTTATATCTCATTCCAAAAGCAATCGCTCACCCATTTACATTGACTATTTAGCAATTGAAAATAAAAGGTCTTAAAGCTAAAAGATCAGTTTTAGAAACGTCCCCCTCTCCAAAAATGAAATGGAAGCTCTTATTACCAATCATGTAAAAGAATATGTTTTGACTAATACTTGATGATGCAAATTTTACCGAAAAACCGCCTACCAATTCATACATTTGGTAACTTATTATATCTATTTGGACCTGATAGATATCGCGCACGTGTCGCGTAGTACCATATTCATCTTTCTGTGTACAGTGCTTGTAACTTTACCAAGACTGGGCCAAATTTCTTATCATTTGATGATTCAAGAACCTTGCAGTACGCACCAATACTTATATGCTAGATGATCAACCTTTTCTGATTGATTCCACAATGTTTCTTTCACAATGCAATCGCATGACCAGAACTGGTCTTTATCTATAATATCAACTCAAACTCAAGAAAATGCTTATTACAAACGAACTTCATAATATCGTCCTCTTCGTTATGATAACAAAATGGACTTCACTCGCATCCCTTATTTGAGGGAACCCGTCTCATTATAGAGTAATACAAAATATGTTTATTTGGGATGTTGTGATATTTTGTTGTGAGTCTAATGTTAATATCGTATACTCCATTTCGGTTTCGTAACCATTGAGTTTTCATTCGCTATTCGAGATTAACACGTTATGTTCCTTATGCGTGTGAAATGGACCGACAACAACTTACTTACTCTTCATCTTGAAGTAGATTTGAAAGACAAATTGGTTATGAATCTTAAAATTAGGAGTTACCAAAGTTGGGTAAACTTGTTATTATACGAACTGTATATTTCAAGTAATACAATAATGGAAATACCAGGATGGAAGACAGAATTATAACATCACAAAATGCAGACTGATCTATATTTTTAAAAATGACTCAATGTATACGTCATGTTTATTTGAAAGGAAGAAAAGAAGAAGCAATAGAAAAACTTACATGGAAATACCCAGGCCCTCTTCCAGAATATTTTCTCTTCAAGTGACAGGAAAAAGGGCTACAATATACAAATGAAGAGCTTGATTCTAGAAGAAGCTAAATCCATATATTATCAAAATCAAGTTTTTTTGTTTGTCTTAAAATAACGATTACCTACATGGGGACAAAATGCACTATATCACATATTAAAATTTCACCAGGAAGTATGAACATTTGTATGTACAATATCATATTTCAGTCCAAAATGAGCTAAATCCAAATCGGTTTAATTCCAAAAGGAGCTAAATCCACTTTGGGTACCTCTGAGTAAATCGCCTTTCTTTTTTATCTACTTTCCCTTTAGCCATGTACCTAGATTTTGTTATATGTGTTTAAGGTGTTGCCCTGGACCAATAATATATAATAAGAAAAACAAATCTTCCAGTTATTTATGATTGTTACTATATGTTTAGATTTTGTGGATATACCTCCCTTTGGAATGAAAAATGGATTTAGCTCATTTTGGAATGAAACTGTTTATTTTCTTTTCAATATTTTTTTTTGGTTGTGATTTCACTATCATTATTTTCAAGAAAAGGTTTGGTACTAAATTTTAATAAATTTTAGTGACTTTATTGAGAAAATATTCTACAATTTAACCAGGAAGTATGAACATTTGTGGGTACAAAATCCTGTTTCATTCCAAAAGCAGCTAAATCCATGTTTCATTCCAAAAGGAGCTAAATCCAGGAGAAAATAATCTAAACATTTAATAAAAATCAGAAATAACTGATAGATTTTTTTCTAATCATATATTTTTTAAATGTTTTTTCTCATATTTTTCCCTCCACAGGGATTTTATTGATTTTCATTTGAAACACATACAAAAATATATATTCAAGGTAATTTACATAATAACATAAATAAAATAAAATTGGCTTTTCAAGATACAAGTATTGTTGAGCTGTTGAGTTAACAGAAAACTAACAAATCATTAATTCATTTCTAACACTCATGGAAAGAAAAACAATTACAGAAAATATATCATTTTAAGTAAACAAATTCCTGAATTGAAACCATTTTCTTGTGAATTTATTATTTCTACAATTCGAATTTGCAATATACTTTTCGTTTTTGAAGTAATTTATAATCGAAACTCTAATACTATCAAAGTCGGGCAATTGTTTCTTTATTTTG